ACATATTAGACGGTAAAGAGAAGGGCTTACATGCATGATACAAGCATTGTACATGTTGATCCAAAACGCGAGCTTCTGCTGATGACTCAAGAACCTCAAATCCACCTTCTGAAGACCATCCATTAACACCCTGCATTGCATACAATTGGCCAAATAAATAAACCAGCCACCTAGATTTCAAACACTAATATATTATAATACATATATATCTTACTTTAATTTCTGAAACAAAGGGACCGAGCTCGAGTTCTGAATGCATTTCATGTCCATTGAGCTTGACGTAAACCTGATCAAGTTCTTATAAGGACCAATATCTCTCGATAAAGACTCCTCCAAGTCGAATATACCATAAGGATCTTGCTGCCGTGAATCTTTCTGAAACATGGCAGAACTCGTCTCTGCCCTGAAACTCAAGGAGAAATTCATCGAACGTGCAATGGGGCCCGATTTCTCGAGCTCCATCACTCGTGATGTTCGGAGTAGCCTCACGTAGATGAAAACAAGACACTTCATTATATTCTCGGATAGCTTGTTTGGCGCCAATCTTTGAACGTTTTCCTCCTCTGTATGTAAAGGAGTCGAGAGGACTTTAGACGGTACCTCCGTGTGAACCTCAAGACTACGGTCTCTCTGAAACCATGAAAAGGCATATTTTTTATTTTTTTTTTTAATTTGTAATTATATAAGGTGCATTAGTAAAAAAATAATATAATTTTGAAAATTCCATACCCTTGGGGTCGGATGCCTCGATTCCCTCAATGGTGAGGGTGAGTTGAGCATGGAGCTTCTTTTTGTGAGCCTTTCCCGAAAATGCCCTTCTTTCTGGTTGAGGCTGAAGTTGCTACTTGTGTGGTACTCTCCTTTGATGGCCTTATTGATGAAATGCAGTGCCTTGCTTTCGTACGTCACTTTCTCATTTGTTTTCCTGTTCGGGTGCTGAGGTGGCAGTGGTGAAGACTCGAGACGGTTCTTGAGAGTCCCGCGTCCCCATTCCTTGTACTTTTTCTCCATGTTGACTTCCTTCTCGTGTTTGACTTGGGTTTTGAGATGCTTGATCTGGCTCTCGAGTCGCGTTATCTCATTCTCCACCATTGCCAGCTCACCCAGTATGTCTTTCATCTGGTATTGTAACAAGTATCTTCAACTATTAAATTTGCATTATGCTTCTATTCCTCCTATGAATATTGTGAGTGTCACGAGTACAAACTAAATGGAATGAAGGATATTGTGTAAAGAATGAGATTATGTTCACTTGAACCATGTTTATATAAAAGATTATGAGATGGTTTATATAACTCACATGAGATGAGACTTGCCATTTGTAGATGATTTAATAGAAAATTAAACTGTGGGAGGACTTACATTTTGCGGAAGAAAATCTGGGATAGCGAGGGCAGAACCGTCCTTTCGCTGATGGAGCTGCTCCAGATACTGGTGCACCTTTTGTTCATGTGCTAGCATTTTGTGAAGCACAGAGACCTTACAAATTTTTCAAATTAGTGTTATGCAAGTGCTACCATTTATTATGAAGCAGTTTCTCTCCTTAATGAAGACATGAAAACCGGTTATTTATTCAGTTT